TCTTCTTCTTCTCCTTCCTTCCTTCTTTTCTCTCTTCTTCCTTCCTTCCTTCCTTCCTTCTTTCTTCTTCTTCCTTCCTTCCTTCCTTCCTTTCTTCTTCTTCCTTCCTTCCTTTCTTCTTCTTCCTTCCTTCCTTCCTTCCTTCCTTCCTCCCTTCTTCTTCTCCTTCCTTCCTTCCTTTCCTTCCTTCCTTCCTTCCTTCTTCCTTCCTCCTTTCTTCTTCTCCTCCTTCCTTCCTTCTTTCTTCTTCTTTCCTTCCTTCCTTCTTCTTCTTCTCCTTCTCCTTCTCCTTCTCCTTCTTCTTCTTTCCTTCTTCTTTTCCCTTCCTTCCTTCTTCTCCTTCCTTCCTTCTTCTCCTTCCTTTCCTTCTTCTCCTTCTTTCTTCCTTCCTTCCTTCCTTCTCCTTCCTTCCTTCTTCTCCTTCCTTCCTTCTTCTCCTTCTTCTTCTCCTTCTTCTCCTTCCTTCTTCCTTCCTTCCTTCCTTCCTTCTTCCTTCCTTCCTTCCTTCTTCCTTCCTTCCTTCCTTCCTTCTTCTTTTCTTCTTCCTTCTCCTTCCTTCCTTCCTTTCTCTCCTTCCTTCCTTTCCTTTCCTTCTTCCTTCCTTCCTTCCTTCTTCTTCTTCTTCCTTCCTTCCTTTCTCCTTCCTTCCTTCTTTCCTTCCTTCCTTCCTTCCTTCCTTCCTTCTTCTTCTTCCTTCCTTCCTTCCTTCCTTTCTTCTTCTTCTTCTTCCTTCCTTCCTTCCTTCCTTCTCTTCTTCTTCCTTCCTTCCTTCCTTCCTTCTTCTTCTCCTTCCTTCCTTCCTTCCTTCTTCTTCTCCTTCCTTCCTTCCTTCCTTCTTCTTCTCCTCCTTCCTTCCTTCTTTCTTCTTCTTCTCCTCCTTCCTTCCTTCTTTCCTTCCTTCTCCTCCTTCCTTTTCTTCTCTTCTTCCTCCTTCCTTCCTTCTCTTCTTCTCCTTCTCCTCCTTCCTTCTTTTCTTTTCCTTCTTCTTCTCCTTCTTCTTCTTTCCTTCCTTCCTTCTTCTCCTTCCTTCCTTCTCCTTCTTCTTCTCCTTCCTTCTTCTCCTTCCTTCCTTCTTCTCCTTCTTCTCTCTTCTTCTCCTTCCTTCCTTCCTTCCTTCTTCTCCTTCCTTCCTTCTTCTCTTCCTTCTTCTTCTTCTTCCTTCCTTCTTCTCCTTCCTTCCTTCCTTCTTCTCCTTCCTTCCTTCCTTCCTTCCTTCCTTCTTCTTCCTTCCTTCCTTCTTCTTCCTTCCTTCCTTCCTTCTTCTCCTTCCTTCCTTCCTTCCTTCCTTCCTTCCTTCTTCCTTCCTTCTTTCCTTCCTTCCTTCCTTCCTTCTTCTTCCTTCCTTCCTTCCTTCTTCCTTCCTTCCTTCCTTCCTTCTTCTCCTTCCTTCTTTCCTTCTTCTCCTTCCTTCCTTCCTTCCTCCTTCTTCCTTCCTTCTTCTCCTTCCTTCCTTCCTTCCTTCTTCTCCTTCCTTCTTCTTCCTTCCTTCTTCTTCCTCCTTCCTTCCTTCTTCCTTCTTTCTTCCTTCCTTCTTCCTTCCTCCTTCCTTCTCCTTCCTTCCTTCCTTCCTTCTTCCTTCCTTCCTTCCTTCCTTCCTTCCTTCTTCTCCTTCCTTCCTTCTTCTCCTTCCTTCCTTCCTTCTCTTCCTTCCTTCCTTCTTCTCCTTCCTTCCTTCCTTCTTCTCCTTCCTTCCTTCCTCTCCTTCCTTCCTTCCTTCCTTCTTCTTCCTTCCTTCCTTCCTTCCTTCCTTCTCCTTCCTTCCTTCCTTCTTCTCCTTCCTTCCTTCCTTCCTTCTCCTTCCTTCTTCTCCTCCTTCCTTCTTCTCCTTCCTTCTCCTTCTCCTTCCTTCCTTCCTTCTTCCTTCCTTCTCCTTCTCCTTCCTTCCTTCCTTCCTTCCTTCCTTCCTTCCTTCTCCTTCCTTCCTTCCTTCCTTCTTCTCTTCCTTCCTTCCTTCCTTCCTTCTTCTCCTTCCTTCCTTCCCTTCCTTCCTTCCTTCCTTTCTTTCTTCTTCTCCTTCCTTCCTGCTTTCTTCTTCTCCTTCCTTCCTGCTTTCTTCTTCTCCTTCCTTCCTGCTTTCTCCTTCCTTCCTTCTTCCTTCCTTTCTTCCTTCCTTCTCCCTCCGATTTTTTTTTTCCAACTTTACAGATAAAAAAAAAAAATATGCCAAAACGGCCGACCAATTAACCCAGCAACGGAGCAAAAATCGGCAGGTTTTTTTTTTGTTCTTCGGCCCGTCTATGGCCTGCATTAATCTTTTTTAAAATAGAAGTATAAAACTGTGCAATGCTATTGAACAAACCCTAACATAATTTTACATGTATATTGCATATTGTTTTGAAGATCTGACAAATAGGAGTATTATTTGTTGGTGTTGGATGTGTTTATGGCACGTGTATAATTAGGTTTGGGTTTGTTCATTAGTGCTGCACAGTTTTATACTTGAGTGCCGGCTGGCTATAGTTTTGAGGATTGGGCACTTTTCTGTGCGGTAATTGTTATAATAATCAGTTTCTTAAAATTAAACTCTGCTTATGTAAATTATACAGATTTTTCTTACAGTTTATGTAAACTCTAGCAACAAAGATCTTAGTTGCTTCTTTTTTGTTCTATTTCATATACCATCCAAAAGTTTTAATTCGATCTGTTTAAGAAGTGCAAAAAAAATCTTGTCAGCAACTTAGAGCTGTCTTGTGTTCACTTCCTGTGTTGTCTCAGGGAGTCTGATTAGCCCTACTTGTTCTCAACGTAGGAGCCTAGAATTATTAGAAGAGCAGGTGGGCCTATGCAGTGTAGCAAAGGACAACTGGGCAGGGCTGACACCACTGCGTACACAAAATTTCTGTGCGTTACCTGCCCACACCAGGACTTAGGAGCAGGGTGCATTTCCAGAAGGCCAATAAACAATTTTCCATACAGGATCCTGAAACGGATAAAACACAGGGAGGTGCACATGTATTGCACAGATGTCCTGCACATGTGTATTTTCCCTGACTTACACTTTAAGGCTCCATGTACACGGGACACTTCTGAACGATGGAAACTGACTGCTGGAAAACGTAGGTTACAAAATGTCTGTTTAGCAACGTTTGCATACCGCGTTTATGTGCGTTTGTGTTTAGAAGCATTTTTTAAAGATAACCTCAGGAGACCTTCCAACATGCCCAGAATGCACTGAAAAATAGTAAAAAATTAACTTTCAGCCATTTTGAGAGAAATTGAGAGAGCAGAAGCAGAGAGAGCAGTATTTGTTGAGATTAGCTGTGTGGTGGTTTTTTTCTTTTTTTTTGGTGTTTGGATGTGTTTCAGCTCATTTCTGTGCAGAAATTATTGCATAGTTTTTCTTTCATGCGAAACCTCAAAGTATGGTGTACCAGGTCCATTTGAGTATCGGGAAATTGCTTTGCATGCATTTTTCATGATTAAAAAAGGCTCTGGACAGCATCTGGAAATTTAAGAATTAAAAAAATGTTGACGTTTGCAACGCCGGTAAAATCTACTCCTGAACGCAAGTTTGATGCGTTCAAAAAAACGACTGTAAACTCAACTGTCTGTAAATGAGATAGTGTACATGGACACAGAGGAAAACATTAGGGAGAGTTCAGGGGCTGCTGAAAAAAATGCAGAAAAGCTCCTAAACGTGAGTTTATCAGCTGCAGTGTACATGAGCCTAAAGCCCACCTTTCACTGAAGTGCACGGTCATCTAAGTATATTGGCTTTCTGCCTTCTCAGATCACCACGTCATTTTACGGTTTAAACACCCATGGGAAATGGTTTTAAAAAAAATGACTTCTTCCACCACCATCTTTTTCCCGCAGTGCCCAAGATGAGGGTGACTTTGCAAACACTGAGAATCTCAAATCTCACTAGAAGATGTCCATCACTATGCTGGGGGAACTTCTTGTAAGGTTTTGGATACTGGGCATTCCCATCATCCCACCAGAAGGATAGTGATGTCACCCTCTCCAGTGGTTAGGGGGGCTGATAAACAACCCTTGCCTTTTGGTTCATGGTCTCCTTTTAATGTTTATTAGGAATGACCTCTCATTGCAGTATACAGTCAACTATGATTTTCTAAATTTGCCAGAAAATGTAAATTGCTTGCAACAGTGCACAGTGCTTCGGGGCAAATTTACTCCCTCCATTCATTGAGAACTACAAGCCAAGAGCTGCAAAGGCTGTCGGTACTTGCAGTTCATTGATTCAGCTGTATGGCCGGGGCCCCGGACAGCCACGCTTTCTTTGAATTGTGACAGCGAGTATGGGGAGAAGATCCCCGGCTTGCTGACACAAGGAGGGGGGGGGGGGGTTCTGAGGCTAAATAGAAATATGGCTGTATCATGTTTAGAAAGGCAGACTTATCTTTTCGAGGGATACTGGGCCTGATGCTTTTCTAATTACTACACTGATGCTAATTATGTGTTTAAAGGCAGGCCCTTCCACTAACATGTTTCAGAAATTGTTGGCAAGGCCTGCATTAATATATACAGTGCAAAAGCAGGCTAACGATTTGCTATAAAGTTTGCTAACATCTTTAGAGGATATTATTTTTCATTTAGAAAACTGGAGTTTCATTTACAAATGAACCTTAAAGAAGTGCAAATACAGAAAAAGTTTGCCTATTCTTTTTGACCCCAGTCCCCCTTCCTTCCATTGACCTAACAGACCCCACGTGATGCAGATTACTGAGATTCAACATTGGCAGCCTCCTGTGTTGACATCCAGTGCCCCAAGTCCTCTCCTTGGCTGTGCTTGCACATTTGAGCCCCATAGATGTCTGTCTGGTGTGTTTTCACCCTAAGCTGTTTTTTCCTCTTGAGCTATAGGTGTTTGTAATCCAATATCATCAACAGAAACCGCAGCAAAGAAATCTTTGAGGCATTTTATCAAAATAATAAATGCTTTCTTTGTGTCTGTAAACATTCTAAAAGATTTGACTAAATTAAAAATGTTTTTGTTGGGAAATCTGTAAGTCAATTAATGTTCTCTTTTCTGCCTGAAGTTGTTTGACAGATTGAGAGAAGAGCAACCAAAATGTGCAGAGAAGCTGATTGCCGTGAGCAGTGAACTCACCCAGCCAGAGCTGAACCTGAGGAAGGAAGACCAAGACATGTTAATAGATTGCATTGATATTTTGTTCCACTGCGCAGCCACAGTCCGCTTTAATGAATCGCTTCGGTGAGTATGACTCTTTGTAGATGTTCATGCTTTTTAGCTTCATTAAACTACGAATGTGTTTTTTTATATATAAACCCAGAACAATTGGATTTCAGCATTTGGTACCCTCAAGGAACTTATAGCTCAATTGTACTTGTTTACTATTAATAATATTGGAACATTGACTAGTTTCATCACGATCTCAAAATGTATGTGTAACTAAGGCCTCCAGCACACAGATGTATTGGTTTACTTAGGATCTTGCAGCTACCAGTGTCCTACATGAGAAATTGTTTGTACTGCATATGAACTCATACAGACACATACTAGCTATAGGCACATTTTTTTTGTATTCATGTCGGCCCTGCATTCACTAGGTGGTGGGGGCACAGGGTTATTTTGCACTATATGCATGTAAATGGTAGAACAAATGTTTACATTCATAGAATGTATAAAATACAATCTAAGGTTTTTTTACATGGGCGTTCATTTTTTTTTTTTTTTTTTTTTTCCATCAGATCAGTCAAGATTTTTTCTTTTCTCCAAAGAAAAAAACAAATCGGCCTGTCCATCAGCTTGCCCATCAGTTTGTTTTTCATCCGTTCTGTTTTTCTAATAGAATTAAAATAGGGCTTTGATCTGTTCCAATAGACAAATGTTGACAGATGCAGATGTAAACCGATGATCATCCGTTTACATCAGTTTTTCCACAGCGATACATTGATGTTTGTTTTTCATCCATCAGCGGATGGATGAAAAATGGACAAACGGAACACTGTGTGCAAGGAGGCCTAAATCAGACTGTAAAAGCAAATTTTTGTAGTTGTGGTTTGGTTCACGTAGTTAAATGCTACAGACCAAAATGAGGCATTGTGAATGGATCCATAGCATACAACTCTGCTATTTTAAGATCTGTAAAAATTAAAATAGTGTTGTGTGAGTGAGCCCGAAAACTTGGGGGAGGATTTGAAAGCCTGTCAGTTTTTTCATTTGGGCTGTCTGTCTCTGCTTGGTAGATTCACCCCCTCTATTTGTCCTGGGGACAGGACAGGAATTTAAAAAGAGAAATGTCCCTCACCAGGATTCAGGGGAATAAACTGACAGGGGTTTGCTGTATCCAAAACTGGGGAAAAATGTGTTCTTAGCTATGTATACATACACACTTTTAAAGTGGAACTGTCAGATAATGCACCACTTTGGCCAGATATTTGTTACAATTACAAATGTTTAGGCATTCTCATGTTTATTTCTTTTGTTTGTATTGGTATGATGCAATCAAGTGGAGAAACAAAAAGCCAAAGCTGATACATTCCATGCAAGACTCCAAAAATGGACTGGACAAAATTATTGGCACCCCTGGAAAAGATAACCAAAATCAATCACTTCCTGTAACCATCAATGAGTTTCTTGCACCTCTCTACTGGAATTGTGGACCTGAATTCTTTGGGTACAGTTTTCTGGGTGAAGTGGTACATTAGCTGACAGAAATGCAGGGGTGCCAGTATTTTTGGCCATGACTGTATCTTCAATTTCAATTAATCACCATCAATTATTACATTTTAAATGTGTCCAAAAAGAATGATTCCCTATTTGAATATAAAATATAAACCAAAATTAAATGGGCTTCATCAAGCCCTCTGTAATGGAGGGCAGCATCTTTTTTGAAAAGTCCCTGCTCTGTATTTCCTGGTATTTTCATCTGCCCATCCCCCACATCTCTCCAAATCCCATGCATGCACAGTATGCCTCTCTGGTCCATCAAGCTACCGTTACACTGGTACCTTCCTCATAGCTTGCATGGAAGCCATTGTACTCTTCTCTCTCCTTGTACAGAGCATGACACGCTGTAAACAGTAAGTGTAGATCAGCGGCGCTATCTCAATGCCTGCATACTTTCAGCTTTGTGCGGGTAAAGTGTTCCACTTACTATTTTCCCTTTCAGCTTTGTTCTTTAATGCGGAGCTCCACTCAAAAGCGGAAGCTCCGCTTATTTGCCTCCTCCACTGCCATATTTGGCACCTTTTGGGGGGGAGCGGGTACCTGGTTTTCACAGGTACTTGCTCCCACTTCTGGCTCAGTTCGCCGCGGCTATAAGAACCTGCTATAAGAACCTGAATTGTATTTTGGTGTTGGATGAATAATACCCACACCTGTGAAATAACACCAGTGAACTTTCCAAAAGTGTAGCAATACATTAACACTCATCAAATAGAGTAGAGAAACATGTACAAAATAAAGAAAGAAGCTGATAATTAAAAGCATAAACCCTAGGTGATTGTATAGCAATATAGCCGCACTATGTCTAATACTCCAAACTGTATCCCAGTATTATATTGCTGCTATATCACTATAAACTTACCAAAAGTGTGCTGCAGTTAATTACCACCTTTTCCCATTCATAAATCTACACATGATACCCACATTGCAGGGGAAAAGGTTCTATTTATGAAAGGAGTGAAGGGAAATGCATTTCAGAATAAACATGTGTAGTATGTAATTTTACAAAGTTAGGGGCTATAAACCTTAGTCGTATTGGCTTTTAATTGAGATGAAGTTTACACACTGGGTTTAGTTCCACTTTAGGTTGATGAGAGAAAAAAAGTCCTAGCCTGTTCTGTCTGTAGACTAGCTAGGTGTTTGAAAATGAGCAAAAGCTGTAATTCTCATTAGGCTGAGCTTTTAGTTTCACCTTCAACAGATTTATTTCCTAACTTACTTTTCCTCTTACTTGCTGTCTGTTGGCATTTTGCTCATTCTGCTAAGTAATAAAGTTAATGGCCTCTCTATCTCTTCATAGTCTCCTCCTTTATCTCTTGCTTGCGTGTGTGAGCTAATATTACCGAGCTGAGATGGCAAACGCTTGGCTTTCAGATGGCGCCCTGTTGGAGACATCACTTCAGATCATGTCTATATGTCTGGCCTCACTGGGAGGAAGCTAATGAACAAACTCCTAGCATTGGGGACATTTGCTAGATCAGGATGATTCAAATTATACAAAGTACTGGTGCCTGCACAAGACCACTTCTTCTTCTGGAGTGATCAAGCCCCCCAAAAATCCCAGCCCTGCATTAACTATACAGTACATCCGCCATTTATTAATATTTGTTTTCCAGGCCCCTGTAAAATTTGATTCACAAAACTACTCTTTTTTTGCTAAATTCAAAGCACAACAAAGAATGTGAAAATGCCCCTACCAGACATTTTTTCATTTATTTATTTTAGATACTTATATAGCGCCGTCAATTTACGCAGCACTTTACATATATATTGTACATTCACATCAGTCCCTAACCCTCAAGGGGCGTACAATCTAAGGTCCCTAACTCACATTCATATACAAGGGCCAATTTAGACAGGATTCATATTAACCTACCAGCATGTCTTTGAAGTGTGGGAGGAAACCGGAGTATTATTATTATTTTTATACAGTATTTATATAGCGCCAAAAAGTTTGCTCAGCGCTATACATTATAGTGGGGGACAGAACATGAGACAATACAGTAACAAAACAACACGAGGGGGTCAAGGGCTCTTTCGAGCTCACAGTCTAGGAGGGAGGGGATAGTGGTACAGGAGGAAGTGGCTGTGGGTGATGGGGTGGAGGAGATCGGCTATTAGGTGAGGGCGGGGTAGGCCTCCCTGAAGAGATGAGTTTTCAGGGTGTGCCTAAAGGTGAGGAGGGTAGGTGACAGTCTGATGGATTGGGGTAGAGAGTTCCAGAGGATGGGGGAAGTCCTGCAGTCGGGCGTGAGGTGGAGACCAGGGAGCTAGAAAGTAGGAGGTCTTGTGAGGAGCGAAGATTATGGGTTGGGTGGTATTTGGGTATCAGGTCAGTGAGGTAGTTTGGGGCAGCGTTATGAATGGCTTTGTATGTCCGTGTTAGTAGTTTGAATTTAATGCGTTGGGCAATCGGGAGCCAGTGGAGGGAATGACAGAGGGGGGTGGCAGAAGCGGAGTAGTAGTTGGTAAGGTGGATGAGTCTGGCCGCTGAGTTCAGGATAGACTGAAGCGGGGAGAGTCTGTGATGAGGTAAGCAGGTGAGAAGGGAGTTGCAGTAGTCCAGAGGTGAGATAATAAGGGAGTGAACGAATTGTTTAGTAGTGTCTGGGGTTAGGAACGTACGTATTTTGGAGATGTTGCGGAGGTGGACCCTGCCAGAGTTTGCCAACGATTGGACATGAGGTTGGAAGGACAGATTTGAGTCAAGAGTGACACCTAGGACTTTGGCTTGCGGGGTGGGACTGATGGTGGCGTTGTTGGTCGTGATGGAGAGGGTGGGGGGGGGGGGGGGGGGGGGCGCGGGCTGGGGGGAAAATCAGGAGCTCGGTTTTGGAAAGGTTCAATTTGAGGAAATGGAGAGACATCCAGTCTGATATGTCGTTCAGTAGGTGGGTGATTTGGGAGGAGACTGAAGAGGTGAGGCGAGGGGTGGAGAGGTAAATTTGTGTGTCATCGGCGTAGAGGTGATAGTTGAAGTCGTGGGAGTGTATCAGGTTGCCGAGGGAGGAGGTGTAGATGGAGAAGAGAAGGGGCCCGAGGACAGAGCCTTGGGGGACCCCAACAGAGGGGGGAGAGAGAGGGGGAGGTGGTAGTGTTATAGGTAATGCTGAAGGAGCGTTGGGATAGATAGGAGGAGAGCCAGGAGAGAGCGGAGTCTCTGATGCCGAGGGATTGTAGTTTATTAAGGAACTGTGTCGAAGGCCGCGGAACGGTCGAGGAGTAAGAGGACTGAGTAGTGGCCATTAGCTTTGGCGGTTAGCAGGTCATTAGTGATTTTGAGTAGGGCGGTTTCGGTGGAGTGTAGGGGACGGAAGTCTGTAGGGGACTGTAGTGGATCGAGGAGGTTGTTGTCAGTGAGGTGGGAGCTTAGGCGATTGTAGACTAAGCGCTCAAGGAGCTTGGAAGTAAATGGCAGCAGGGAGATGGGTCTAAGGTTGTTCAGGTTGGTGGGGTCCAGGGAGGGTTTTTTGAGTATGGGGGTGATGTGCGTGTGATTTAGGGGGGAGGGGAATGCGCCAATA